TTTGACTTATTTCCGCCATATTTCGAGTACTGTTCCGAAAAACTTCAAAATTTTAATGGAATAATGTGTGTTTCAGACTATCTCACTGTGCCTAACTAAAAAAATTACATATGGACTCAACTTTATAACATTGTTACTTTTTTGTACAAAAGTGCTTATCTCTCCGAGTTGAGCACTTTGTGCAAATTTTTGACTTATTTCCGCCATATTTGGAGTACTGTTCCGAAAAACTTCAAAATTTCAATGGAATAGTGTGTTTCAGGCTATCTCAAAGTGCCAAACTAAAAAAAAAATTACATTTGGACTTAACTTTTTAACATTATCACTTTTTTGTACAAAAGTGCTTATCTCGCCGAGTTGAGCAATTTGTGCTAATTTTTGATATATTTCCGCCATGTTTCGAGTACTGTTCCGAAAAACTTCAAAATTTTAATGGAATAATGTGTGTTTCAGACTATCTCACTGTGCCTAACTAAAAAAAAAATTACATTTGGACTCAACTTTATAACATTGTTACTTTTTTGTACAAAAGTGCTTATCTCTCCGAGTTGAGCACTTTGTGCAAATTTTTGACTTATTTCCGCCATATTTAAAGTACTGTTCCGAAAAACTTCAAAATTTCAATGGAATAGTGTGTTTCAGGCTATCTCAAAGTTGAGAGTTGAGCACTTAGTGCAATTTTTTGATTTATTTTCGCCATAATTCGAGTACTGTTCCGAAAAAATTCAAACTTTCAATGGAATAGTGTGTAATTCAGGCTATCTCACCTTGCATAACTAAAAAAATTACATTTGGACTCAACTTTTTAATATTGTCACTTTTTGTGCAGGAGTGCTTATCTCGCCGAGTTGAGCATTTTGTGCAAATTTTTGATTATCCGTCATATTTCGAGTACTGTTGAGAAAAACTTCAAACTTTCAATGGAATAGTGTGTGTTTCAGGCTATCTCACCTTGCATAACTAAAAAATTACATTTGGACACAACTTTTTAATATTGTCACTTTTTTGTACAAGAGTGCTTATCTCGCCGAGTTGAGCATTTTGTGCAAATTTTTGACTTATTTCCGCCATATTTCGAGTACTGTTCCGAAAAAGTCTAAAATTTTAATGGAAAAGAGTGTGTTTCAGGCAATCTCCTCGTGCCTAACTTAAAAAAAAATTACATTTGGACTCAACCTTTTAACATTGTCACTTTTTTTACAAAAGTGATTATCTCGCCGAGTTGAGTAATTTGTGCAAATTTTTGACTTATTTCCGCCATATTTCGAGTACTGTTCAGAAAAACTTTAAAATTTCAATGGCAAAAATTTTAACATTGTCACGTTTTTGTACAAATGTGCTTATCTCGCCGAGTTAAGCTCTTTGTGCACAGTTTTAAATTTCTGCGATATTTAAAGTACTGATCCGAAAAACATCAAACTTTCAATGAAATAGTGTGTGTTTCAGGCTATCTTACCATGAAATTGACTAATCGTCTCGAATTGAACCGCGGACGCGAACTCAACAAGTTAAAATTATTTGACGATTTAACCCTTTTAATTCTTAAAATTTGTCTCCAAATATTTGTGGAGTAGTTGTGGACCTGTTTGTGTACTCGAACGTTATATACCAGTAAATGTGAATGATTTCTCATTTCGAAGGAAATACTTGATCTCTACAACAAAATTGTTAGCCTCAACGTCTCGCTTGCCCGCCAACTTTGTAAGCTACTGACGCCACGCTTTGTCTATTTGTCGGCCCAATTGGATAGCCCCACATAGGACTTCAATAGCCTTCGGTTGAACAACAAAACAACTCTACAATACTGTGTTACGGTTGGCTTCAACGAATTTGTTTCTATATGGTAATTATATATTATATACTATATATATATATATTTTTTTTTAAATTTATAATCTAATTTGAACACCATGGCTACATGTTCACGGCCTACGGTTGGAACTCCACCAAAATCGCAATCATTGACGTCGAATATCACTCAAAGAAATATCGCTTGTTTAGATAACTGTACAATGAAAGATTTCAAAGGTAAACCAATTGAATGTGCTCTCTGTTCTTCCGAGTTTCATCCACAATGTGTTGGACTAAATGCGTCAGGAAAGAGACCGACATGGTTCTGCCCAAATTGTAAAGACATTACTTCAAGCATTACTATCTTGAAAATCGAAATAGATCAAATCAAGAAGGATATGAAACAAATCAAAGATGAAAATAACAGCTTGAAAAGAGAAAATAAGAAGCTAAAATCAGAACTCCAAGCTCAAACGGAAAGTATAGCTAACCTAACTACAGACGCCCATCATGAGCCAGCGAATAAAACAGAACCCATTCCAGGACAAGAAAGGAATTCAACCTTGCTCATTGGAGATTCAATCATAAAACATATAAATGAAAGGGGCCTTTGTAACACTAAATTTAAATGCATGCCTGGTGCGAAAATCCGAGAAATTAAGGAAAATATAACACATGTTATACAGGCGGATCCTGCTAAATTCGACACAATCATTATCCATGCCGGGACGAATGATTGCTCAATAAACGACGCCCATCTCAACAATGCATCAAAGGACATCCGCGACTTAGTACAAGATATGAAAACAAAAGCGCCAAACACCAAGCTTATCATTTCAACGATTTGCCCACGAACAGATAACCAGAAATTTCAAGAGAGAGTCGACAAACTAAATAACAACTTCAAGGAAATTGCGACTGAAGAGGACTGTACGATTGTCAACAATGACCTGACATTTAAGATGTCGAACAATGAATGCGAACAAACTACCCTAAATAGAAGTGGTCTACACCTCAGCAAATATGGAACAAAGAAACTCCTGAACAACATTATCCCGACTCACTGCATAATCAAACCCAAATCACCTACCACCGATCGACACCATAAGTATACCAACAGAGTCCACATAGCAATACAGACCGATCGCATAGACACCTACATCAACGACAAACGCCAAAAAAAGCTTTCTGCTACTTCTGCGGAGAAACAAATCATCATATGAAACAGTGCACACACGGAAGGCCAATTCAATGTCGATCATGTAATCAGTATGGACACAAACAACAACAAAACCTATGCAGGAACAAATAAAAATTCGGCGAAGATGAAGATGCCGGTCCTGACAATAACAGGAAGGACTTGTGTGGTAATGTGTTTAACGATCAAAATAATAGATTTAATGTTTTACAAGACCTTTCAAATAATGATATAAACGATAATGATCAAGTTAAAACACTATTTTGTAACAATGAACTATTAAATCGCCTATTAATTGTAATGATGAACATATTTATAATAATAAAGATGATAAAAATACTAATAATAATAATAATAATCGCAATAATATTATTAATAATAATAATAATAATAATAATAATAATAATAATAATAATAATAACAATAATAATAATAATAATAATATAATACGTCCGAAGCGTGTTCGACGCGGAAAAAGATTAAAGAGAAATGACAAAAGAAATTTTAACATTAATTTTAATAATATTCGAGGAGTAAAAAGCAAGAAATATGAAATTAAAAAGTTCCTTAAGTGTAATAAAATCACGGTTTTTGGCATAGTAGAGACATTCCTAAAAGAAAACGAAGAAATCAAAATAGATGGTTATAACTGGATCGGAAAAAATAGAGTAAATGAAAAAAAGAAAAGCCAAGGCGGAATCGGTTTCCTCATAAGGGATGATATTAGGATCCTTGAAGATAACGTATTAGATTCTCATTCCGATACATTAGAAAGGATATGGATAAAAGTTCAAATTAATGAATGTGCTGACTCAATATTCTATATTGCAAATACATATTTTCCATGTGAGGGAACCGATCGCACGCAGACCGATGAAATGTATATGACTTTGCTTGCTGAGACTATCGCAATCAGAGAACATAACGAAGATACTAATATAATTATTTTAGGGGACTTTAGTGGGAAAATTGGTCAAGTTATTGCTGGAGGTGATGATACCGTAAATTATAATGGGCAAGGTTTGTTAGACTTTTGCGATAATGGGGATCTAAACATTCTAAATGGTAGCTGTAAATGTACTGGTATTTACACGTGGGTACAAAATTGCCGCCACAGTGTTTTAGATTATGCTATTGTCTCACACAACGTATTTAATTTAACAAATGAATTGATTATTGACGATCTCTGCCTTTTTCATTTAGGGAGCGACCATAACATATTAATTCTAGACATTAATACTCCTAGTACTAACAGAAAACGTAAAGACCCACCATTAAATAAGAAAGTCTGAAATATTCCTGACAATTATAATTGGGAATCATTTAAAAATAAAATAACAGGAAAGTTTGAGAACTGGGACCCTGCCCAATTAAATGCGAATGACGCATGGGAGGAATGGAAAACGAAAGTTTTATCAGCAGCGGAGGAATCTTTCGGATCGAAAACTTTAAACGGTAAATGTAATTCCTGGTATGATGAAGACGTCGAAAAATCAATCAAATCTATGAAAGAAGCTTGTAGGATCCATCGTAAATATTTTATGAATTCACAAGACCCTAACTTTAGCATAGATACTTGTAACTCACTATGGGTAAATTACCAAGAAAAGAAAAACGAATGTAAATCAATAATAAAACGTAAAATAATGAAAAATAAAGTAGAGAATTGTTCAAAATTGAAAAATAAAGTAGAGAATTGTTCAAAATTAATGGAAAGAGGAGGACCACAATGCCGTAGTTTCTGGACAGAACTCAAAGGGAGGAAACCCAGAAATATAATAAACTCAGTCTTAATACTAGATACAAATAATACAAGCTCTGACCATTTAACGATAACGAATGCAATCCCAATCAATGAAAATAGGCACATGTTAAACGATTTAAACTTTACATGTAATGAAGTTTCAAATGTCATATCCCAAACTAAAAATAATAAAAGCCCAGGAAACGATAAAATATCAAATGAAATGTTGAAAAATGGCGGAGATGAAATGATCATATCTATGTATAAATTATTTAAAAGACTAGCAAACTTACAACATATACCAGATGAATGGAATGAAGGAACGATCATTCCATTATTCAAAAAGAGAGATAGGCGTGATCTAAATAATTATAGAGGAATCACTATTAACTCTTGTGTCGCAAAAGTCTACATAATAAAGTTATCTCCCAGACTTTGTCAAACTTCCTTGAAGATAACGAACTCCTCACTGAGGTCCAAGGTGGATTTAGGAACGACAGAAGATGTGAAGATTACATCTTCACTTTAAAAAGTATTATCGCTACCCGCCAGGCGGGAGGTAAAAAAACCTACTTGGCCTTCTTGGATTTTAAAAAAGCGTTTGACACAGTCTGGAGAGATGGATTATTCACTGCGGTCGAAGGATCGGTATAGGAGGTAACCTCCTAAACATAATTAAAAACCTATATGTCAACGTTAAATGTAAAGTATCTGCAGGTAATTATGTTACTGATCCATTTGAAATTGAAGAAGGTGTCAAACAGGGGTGTACACTATCTCCATTATTATTCATAATCTATATTAATGAATTAAATAAAATGATCATACATAGAAAGCTAGGAATAAATATTTGTGATACCATAATCGGTTGCCTTTTCTGGGCTGATGATGTAGTCTTGATCGGTGAGAACGAAAAACAACTAAATGAACTATTAAAAACTACAGACGAATTCGTAAGAAAATGGAAAATGAGCTTTAATTATAACAAATCAAATGTCTTAATATCAGGTCAAAAAGTAAATAATTATAGAAAATGGAAATTGGGCGATAACTATATAACTGAAGTAGATGACTACAAATACTTAGGTGTAATGATTTCAAGATCGCTGTCCGATTCACATCACATCGATGAAGTAATCAGAAAAGGTAACCGAGTTATTGCGTACATTAAGTCTATTATAAACAATCAGGGCGACTTCAATAGAGTGTACTATGGAGATATACTATGGAGAACAATAGGTCTACCAACCGTAAATTATGCATGCTCTGTATGGTTCTGTGCCGGAAAATCGGCCACTACCAAACTAGAAAATCTCCAATACCAGATGGCTCGAACTATTTTATGTGCACCACGAAATGTAGCTAAAGACGCCTTGTATGGAGATCTAGGCTGGCAATCAATCGAATCAGTTCAAAACAATTTAATAATACAATTTTTTAACAGACTTAAAAACATGGATGAAAAAAAATGGCCACGAATTTTATTCAGAGCAATTAATCATGTTGAACAGTCATTAAAATGGAAATGGCTAGATACAATAAAAGGTATATTAACTAAATATGGTCACGCAAGAATGTACAATACCGAACCTCAAAATGGCTGGATGAAAGAATTTAAAAAGATTAATAAAGAGACTGATGCTAAAACATGGTTTGAAAATTGTAAATTAAAAAGTTCACTAACAGAGTATATTAGATACAAAGACAGACCTATATTTGAACCCTATCTACTAGACAAAATAAATTTCAAAGGAATTACATTAAAATTCAAAACACGAACTAATTCTCTAAACCTAGAGGGTAAAAAGCAAACATGTTCAACACAAAACAATGGTTTTTGTAAATTATGCTCCCAAAATTTAAAAGAAACAGCCGACCATTTTTTATTTATTTGTGATAAAATCCAGCCATTTAGAGAAAAGGTTTATAATGATTTAAAAAATGACCTTATTAAATGGGGATTAGATGAATTTTGGAAATCATTTATTACCGGATCGTTAGATTATAAGCATCATTTATTTCTCGATAATCTTAATGACCAAATTGGTAACCATAAATTAGCAGAAATATTTGATAATTATTGTAAGGTATTTCTCGAAGGCGCATGGAATTTAAGATCTGAAATATATAAATCCATGGCCACATTACCACCCGTTACACTTAAATTAGTTTTTGTATTTCCCTTTATTCTGTTAATATGAACCTTTATGATCAGTTAGTTCTAAGCTCTATATTTTGTTATAAATATCTTGTAATGTTAGTTAGTTGTCTGTTAGTTCTAGCTCCATATTAACTTGCAATTCATACAGCAACTCTGTAAATAATACGGTCCTGTAAGACTACCGGTACCATACCACATAGACCTACATGCCATGTTGATAAATTTTACTTTGTATATACATTTTAGCTTAATTTACTACTAGTTTAAGTATATTATTTTTCTCTTATATTTGGATGCACCGTTGGGTATTGTCCAACGTGTGCCACTGTTACGAAAGTGATATCCATTAACTTGATTGATTGATTGATACCATGCCTAACCAAAAAAAAATTACATTTTGACTCAACTTCAATTTTACAATGGAATAGGGTGTGTTTGAGGCTATCTCACCTTGCCTGACCAAAAAAAATTACATTTTGACTCAACTTTTTAACTGTCACTTTTTGCACAAAAGTGCTTATCTCGACGAGTTGTGCACTTAGTGAACATTTTTGACTTTCCTCCATATTTCGAGTACTTTTCCGAAAAAATTTAAACTTTCAATGGAATAGTGAGTGTTTGAGACTATCTTACCTTGCCTAACAAAAAATTTACATTTTGATTCAACTTTTTCACATTGTCACTTTTTGAACAAAAGTGCTTATCTCGCCGAGTTGAGCACATAGTGCAAATTTTTGTCTTTTCAGCACACTTCGAGAACTTTTCCGAAAAACTTCAAACTTTCAATGGAATAGTGTTTGTTTTCAGGCTATCTCACCATGCCTAAAAAAAATTACATTTTTACTAAAATTTTTCACACTGTCACTTTTTGCACAAAAGTGCTTATCTGGCGGAATTGAGCACTTTGTGCAAATTTTTGACATTCCGCCATATTTCGAGTACTTTTTCAAAAAACTTCAAACTTTCAATTTAATAGTGTTTGTTTTCGGCTATCTCACCGTCCCTAACAAAAAAAAAATTACATTTTGAATAAACTTTTTAACATTGTCACTTTTTGCACAAAAGTGCTTTTTTTGCCGAGTTTAGCACTTAGTGAAAATTTTTGACCTTCCTTCATATT